GACTCAGATTTGCGTCTTTGAAAGTTCACTGACCAAGCTTGCGTCATTTGAAAGCCACACTTGCGCGTCAAATGGCCGAATTTACTAACTGATCGTTGCATAAAATGTATATTAGCTCGATACTGAGAATCGTCGAGATAAAACAACACGACGCAAGGCGCAAATTCAAACATCGATTTCAGCACGCTTAAAATATGTGCTGGGTTTATCAGTGTTCTCCCCAGGCCAAAACAGCGTCGCGATCGGATTTGCCCGCGACGCTATGTGTTTCCTCCGCGATGCTATTATTTATCTGATTTCTTCAGTCTCTCACAGACTGTGAAGTTTCCTGGCTAACTCGTTAAATCTACAAATGCATTGTATTAACGCCAATTTCCCGGGATAATTCCCTGTTGTTTCGCATTGGTTGGATATCGTTTTAAAAAAAACAAAGCAGTTCTATAAAGACAAAGCTGTAAGCCCCGGTGTCAAACGCTCTTTGCCAAACGTATATTCATATGCAAATGATATAGTCACACTTGGGGTCAAAAGCCACATGTTTCCAGTGTGTACGAAACGTATTTTCATTATTATTTTTAGAAATGTAGTCGTACTATTATTCTAAGTTTTGATTTTTGTCAGTATTTTTGATATTGTATTTGTTTTTTGAGATCAAAATGTGAAAAAATATATATTTATGATGTAAACAATTTTGACCTCGTGATTGTGAATCCAAGATGGCGTCACCCACGTAAGATTCAGCGAGCGTGAACTTCCCACTCGGATCGCATGTCTTGCTCAGATTCGGATGAATTAAGTGAAGCATAATTGAAAATAATATATTTATCAAGAAATCGGGAATTCTAATCAAGAAACGTGTGGAAATTGGAGTGACACTTGTGTTATTTCTTGGAAGAAAAGCCTCAATTCAGACCTCCATTGTCTCGAATTGTTCACAATTGTGTTGAACAGACAACATCGATGATTAAAAAAAATACATAAAGATGGATAATTTCAGCCAGAAAAACTATTATTGCTCGAACATAGTAGCGCAAGTATCGTGACTCGTAACAGTTGTTGTACTTAACCGGAAAACAACAGAAACGAAAGACAAGCAATGAGAATAATCAACCCCATGTTTAATTTACCGGGACCGGCCAAGCAAAGAAACAGAAAACTCAGTATTTCTGCAGGACATTTGCAATACTAAACATGCAGTGCAATAATTGTATACAGATTGTACATAAAATAAATAGAAAAAAAGAAGAAAAACTGGTTTTGTTTTACTTTCCCATATGACAAACAATATGTTAATTTATGCTAATTATTATGCAAATTAGCCGCAACTCTATGAAAAATTTCTGGGGAGAACACTGGTTTATTTTAAAGCAGTGCTCCAGCTTAGAATAATACTGGTACAATGTGTTCAGTATAGTACACTTCTTTCAAATTTTTCATGGATCTTAAATTAAACTTTCCTGGCTTTGGCAACACAAACGCGACATACAAAATCACCGGAATCCGTCGAGATACAATTGTAAGCCTCCGTTCTGTTTTTATAGAACACTCTAAAACTAATTTGAATACGAACAATAGAAACAACTACACGGCAATTAGCGCTGAATATGCTAACGCCCTGGCACGTTACCCACTCGTTAGCGTGCGTTACAACTGTGTTAACGCAAAGCTAACATCACGTTGCCTTGCGTTAACACCCGGCTAACATTTTGGTAAGCGAGTTTTGAGCTGTACTGTATTTATCCAGGTAAGATACCAGGGTCCTGAACATGGAAAATTGGCAAAAATAGGGTGGGCAAATGCTCGGACATCCCCTGCAAAAAAAACACGAAAATTCATGAAAATTGACAACACATGGATTGAACTGCAATAGGGGATAGAACGGCGACTAAAAATATGCAACAAAGATAAATGAACAATATGCAACATTAGAAGAATAACAAAAATAATTTATTGCTTATAATGTGACAAATAAACCAGAAATAATAAAAATCGACTGAGGAATCATTTGAATTAGGATTTCCTCGCCGACAAGCATGCATGAACTCAAAATGAATTTAAATGTCAGGGGTTAAACTGTGTAAAATTATTTCCGGTTTTGACAAATACCAGTTCAACAGCCTTACAAGATCAATAATAATTTATGCAGTAAAATTACGAAAGTTCATAGTTGTTTGAAATAGTGCGACACTTGCTTCACGGCTCTCTGTAAGATTTGCTTGAATCGCTTCTAAGGAAGTCATCTGTTAATACAATGAACAAAAAGTAGGGTTTTTTTTTTCTTTTTTAGT